AAATGGTCTTTTTGAGTGGCTTTATTAAGCCTTCTATAGTCCATACATATCCTCCAACCAATTACTGTTTTAGTAGGTATAAGCTCATTCTTCTCATTTGGTACAACAGTGACTTCACCCTTTTTGGGCAGACATTGCACAGAACTGACACAGGTACTACTAGCAATAGGATAAATTATGTCAGCGTCAAGCCATTTTAAAATCTCTTTTTTGAAAACCTCCTTCATGACAGGATTGAGCCTTCTTTGAGGCTCAACGGAGGTGAAACTTTTGTCTTCCAAAATAATTTTATGTTGACAAATGGTGGGACTTATCCCTTTGAGGTCAGCAATTGTCCATCTTATGGCCTTGGTATGAAGTTTCAACATGTCAACCAACTTTTCTTCTTGGTCAGCTCTAATGATGATGAAATAATGACTGGCAACTTCCCTGAATCTCCTAAAAAGGCATACTTCAGATGTGAGGGAAGTTGTTTTAACTCTAAATCTGGGGCAACATCTAAGGAAGGAACAAGAATCTTCCTATCCTTAGTTTCTAAAACTTCAAAAGCAGCAGATTCTTGTGGTGTTTCTATTTCCTCAAAATCTTCCTCTTCATCACTATCAGTCTCAGATAAACCTAAGATTTCCCCCAAACTTTTCTCTTGACACCAGGTTTCTATCAAACTCAAAGCAGAACACTCTTCTCTTTCCTCCGGGTACCTAAGGGAATTAAAAATATTAAAAGTCACTTGTTGGTCTTGGACTCTCATGGTTAATTCTCTCTTCTGTTCATCTATCGAGGTTCTTCCAGTAGCTAGGAAAGGTCTCCCTAAAATGATGGGAATGTCTTTGTCGGCTTCAAAGTTTAGAATGATAAAATCAGCTGGGAAAATAAACTTATCAACCTGAACTAGGACATCCTCAATCTTTCCTCTGGGATAGGCTATGGACTTATCAGCTAACTGAAGAGTTACAATTATAGGTCTAGCTTCACTTATGCCTAGAGTATTGAAGACAGATAAAGGCATCAGGTTTATGCTAGCACCTAAGTCACATAGAGCTTTTCCTATCTCTTTTCCTCCAATTGAACAAGGGATTGTAAAACTTCCAGGATCTTTCATCTTAGGAGGAATTTTAATGGACAACAAAGCACTGCAACCCTCAGTCAAAACTACCGTCTCATATTCAGTCAGCTTTTTCTTTTTACTTAAAATGTCTTTTAAAAACTTTGCAGAACTTGGCATCTGCTCAATTGCTTCAACCAAGGGCATGTTTATGTGCAACTGTTTAAAAACATCAAGAAACTTTTTAAATTGTAATTCTTCCTTTTGATTCCTTAATCTTTGGGGATAAGGAATATAAGGAGTGACTTGAATAGGAGACGTAGTCTTTTGAAGAGTTGGTGCTAGAATGGGTTTCAAAACTGGTCTCACAATTGGTTCTGATTCAGTTCTATCAGGGATTATAGGACTGGTCTGGTCTTTTATTGCGGGACTGTCACCAGATTGTGACACATCCAAGGCAACACTTTCTTTGGGAGTCTGAGTTGTCTTGGGTTCATCAGGAAATAACAGTGGAAAATCTGATCTTTCAGGAATGGTCGTACTATCTATGGGCCTGACTATGGGTTGAGRCTCACTAGTACTCACAGGAATGGTAGTCACAAAATCTGGTACAGAGGTAACATAATCTTGTTCTACACTTTTCTTTTCAATCTCTGCTTTGGTTGGTTCTTTTTGGGTATTTTCTAAATAACTCTTTCCACTCCTTAACGTAACAACCATAACATGCTCTTTCCCTTCCCTCTGAGGTATCTCTGTGTCACTAGGTAGAGAACCTACTGGTCTTTTTCTAATCTCCAAAGCCATTTGTCCCATTTGAGTTTCGATATTTTTCATTGAAGCTTGAGTTTGGGTTATAAAACCCTTCATCATTGCTTCCAAAGAAGTAGATGACTCAGCTTGCTGTTTGGGCTTGCTTTGGAAAGAAGACTGATGATTCTGAAAATTAGCATGTTGATTATTATGATTGCCTTGATACGCTTGCGAGTGAAAATTAGATTGGCCTTGTTGTTGAAAATTGGACTGTCCTTGCGATTGAAAATTGGACTGTCCTTGCGGCTTTTGCATTGGTGGGTTAAGAGCTGGACTATGTCACGAAAAATTTGGATGATTTAGCCATCCCGGATTATAAGTCCGTGAAAATGGTCCAGTCTTGTTGACATAATTTACATGCTCAGGATTTCCAGAACAATGCTCAAAAGAGTGACCTTCACCACAATACACGCATTGTACTGATTGAACATTGGAATTAAAGGTTTTAGCATCAGATTGCACATGCGGGCTAGATGTTAAATTTGAAATTAGCTTAGTGATCTGAGCTGTTAATGCCGAGACAGCATCTACCTCATTTATTCCGGCTGTTTTCTTTAGTGGCATTGCACGTGGGTCAGACCATTTTCCGTTATTATTAGAAATCTTTTCTAGTATGTCAAAACCTTCATTATAGGTACAAGCTGTGAAAACTCCGTCTGCAGTAGCATCGAGCATTTGTCTAGCAACGACATTTAAACCGTTGTAAAATGTGTCTAGCTGTATACAGTATGGAATGCCATGGTGAGGGCATTTTTTCAGCAGCTCTTTATACCTTTCCCATGCATCAGGAACTGCTTCATCATCCAGTTTTCTAAAAGTACAAATTTCATTCCTGGATGTGGCATTCCTCGTGGGTGGAAAATATTTTTTCAAAAACTTCTCTGCCATTTCATTTCATGTAGTCACAGAGTCTGGTTGCAAATAATTGTACCATGCTCTTGCTCGATCCCTTAGTGAAAATGGAAAAAGTTTTAGTCTCAGAGCATTGTCTGAAACATCAGGGATGAGAAAAGAGTCTATGATTTCCATAAAAGAACGCAGATGAGAATGAGGGTCTTCAGAAGATAAACCAGCGTACTGGCCGTTTGTTTGAAGCATTTGAAACATCAGTGGTTTAAGTGAAAAATGGGTGGCACCAATGGTAGGCTTACGTATCCCTGTATGCAGTTGAGTTAAATTAGGAATAGCATATGCCATAATGCCACCATTTTTAGCATTTGCAAGACGAAAGATGTTTTGAGCCTCATCCTCATGTGGAATATTTGGTTCATTTCTAATTATACCTTCTCCATCAATAATCACATTTTCAGCCATCGTTTCGGAGTTTAAAGCTCAAAGAGCTCTTTGCACTCTTCTTCGTTGTCTGAAAGTTTGTTCAATATCCGGATCAAGTGGAAAAAATTCACCGTGCGACAGTCTTGGCATACACGGTGCGTTCACAAAAAGATGGTAGAAAAACTAACTTTTGTAAATTTTACTTTAAAAAGAAAAACTTCAGCGTGCCATCCCCTGCAGCGGCGCCAAAAACTTGCTCGTCGGTTTATTCAACCTTAGATTTCAACACAAAAATAGAACTCGGCGCAAGTATACACCCTGAACTACTGTCGTCTCGTAACAAATAATAATGGTATAAGTACCAGATATCGTTCCCACAGAGATAGCTTGTAAAGCTATTTCAAAAGTCCAGTTTATAAAAACTAGTTTCAGATGGCGAAACGAGGGATTTGATTTATCTAAAATTGGGTGGTTTGATTAACAACTAAGGAAAATATCAATCTTAAAAAGAAGCACAGGGTGCAACAGTTGATTAAGACATTTAAACAAATGATTCAGCAAAAATGTGACATAGCATTCCTGTCACAATTATCTAAAATCAATAAATGATTTTATATAACTATGACAGTATCAACTATCGGGTCAGACGGCCTCCCAAGAGCACACACCGGTCAACGTGCTATCGATACGATATCATTTATGTTAGACGTCGTGAATCCTAGCACAACACAGTGTTACCATCCTACACCGTAKGAGTATAGCATTTGTTAGACACTAAAGCTATTTATAGGCTTCTCCTATTACCTCAGGTTTTCAAAGTCAATACATTTTTATACACAAAATTAGTTGTCAATTAATTTTAATGTAATCATCAAATAAAATATTAAGCACCTGAAATAAATAGTAGACGATAATGCTAATAAGACACCTTTGTACTTTCACATCGGCTTTGGTCTTAATTTCCCGTTACACCCCAAGCTAAGGTGTTAGCCCATCATCGCTCGGTTTCTTCTCTCGAAGGATGTAAGGACTGAAAAATAAATAACTGATACGAAAAAGTAAATTATAGAAAGTAAATTGCAGAAAGTAAATTACAAGAAATGGAAATACTGGAATTTAAAGTACTGGAAATTAAATGACTGAAAGTAAAATTGCTAGAAATTAAATGACAGAAATATAAATGACATAAATGTAAATTGTAGTAAAGTAAAGACTGAAATGTAAAGGACTGAAATATAAAGACTGAAATGTAAAGAACTGAAATATAAAGACTGAAATGTAAAGGACTGAAATTAAATTATCAATAACTAAATATTATTAATTAATATTAATCTAAGACATGATGTATGACAAGTACTTGATGAGATGGAGAAATGACTAATGAAAATCTTGAAAGAAGAGTTTGACTTTGAAGAAAAATTGGAAGACAAGTAACAAAACTTGCAACACAAGTTTCGTTACAAAGACCGAAAAGGTTACTTGCAAACTCTTAAAAACAGATTATTTAGTCTACGTAAACTAGTCGTGAGCCACAAAGGATGAGATCCAATGTAAAGCTCGTAACTCGTAACTCGTAACAAAAGTCAGAAAACGTAACGTAACTTGGAAATAAAAACAGAATTGAGATGAAGATTAAATACGAGTACTTGTATTAAACTTGAAAATGTAATCACAACTTCACTTCACAAAAATCGGTTCTTGATTGGAAACAAGAAAACCGAAAGTATAAAACCAAAAGCAATATTCTAGAGAGCAATTAACACAAAGGTCATAAGTGTTAAATTGTAGAAAGCATGAAAAAGTGTATTAAAAACCATGCCTTAAGCCTCTATTTATAGGCTAAGGGAGTTTGTACAATGGGAGCCACCTAATAAGACAAAAGGCAATTCAAAAATGAGCTTTGACCGGGCCCAAGGTCGTTGACCACGCATCCACTATGGAGCAGCCTAAGAATTCTCGGCCCACGCAAAAGTGTAGCTCACGAACAGGTACTACAGGATTCTGCCACACTTGGTCCACAGGACTGCTGCAGGATTTGCCCAAAAATCATCAAAAACCTGCATAAATAGGGAATTAACATTAGATATGATATATTATCAATAATATATGAAAATGACATAAAAAGACTCAACTAGGACACTAATGGGCAAATAAAACAAAGAAAAATGATTAAGAAAATGATGTAATAACGTTAATAAATTAACACTTATCACAGTGCTATCAATATTCCAACACTGAACGTAGGCACAACAGTTTATTCAACTGTTGTTTCAATTGGTAATCTAAGTGACCCAGGTGTTAGCTTATCAGAATTTGTGTCACGAGAGTATCTGGACGGCGCCCTAAAGGCTGTTCAAGAAAACATGGATGCACAGATTGCAAGTCTGAAAAGACTTTTGAAGAGGAAGGAACAAGTTAAGGAAGAGCAACCATCTGCGCCATCACCACCGCCTATCTGAGCCTCCGAGGGTACAAAAGCAAACGATGGATGAACTCAAATCGCTGTTGTACACAAAATTGATGGCATCACAAAATCCTGATGCTGAAGATGTAGACTTGGTTGGGCTCTTAAGACAACAACTTGATGATAACCCTCCCGTTAGAGCCTCAGAGTTTTTCGCCTTTCAAGATGTGGTTGCTTCTAGCTTCTCAAAAGTTAGCAAGTTAATCACATCCAAAACCCAAGATCTTAAAAGTTTAATGGATGCCCTCTTTGAACGGGTGTCTACTCTAGAAGAGACGTGCAGATCTGAGGCCACCTCTCACAAAAGAAGGCATGATGATCTGGATGATCCAGATCATCATGAGGGGGAGAGGAAGAGACAGAGGGTGGCTGAGACGTTTGAACAAGCTACAAGGGTTGAAAGTGAGCCAGCTGCTCAAGATGTGAATGCTGAAGTTTCTGCCCCGGAGTCTACACGGGAAAGAATCATCGAGGCTATTATTGTAGAAGATGAAGGAGAAATGGAGACAAGTCCTATGATCGAGCCAATGGTTGAAAATCCGGCGGACTCCACAGTAGGGACAAGGTTGTTATTGGACTTGTCTGCCAATGTTGGTTTCAATGACGTGTTTTCTATTGTGCTGGGTGGAGAGCAAGATTTTGGAGAGGATATCGAGAATATTGACGAGTCAACTGGGCTATACTTTGACTTTGAAGCAGACATCAATGAGGAAGATCCAGTTTTCCCAATTCAGGGTGACCGTCAAATAGTGCCAGAATCCTCCACTACAGCTGTAGCTGATGCATCTGACATTCCTGCTCCTAGAAAGCCTTTTGATCCTACAGAGATATTCATGAGGAATCATGTGCCATTCGTCATTCGAGCAAATTTTCCAGGGTATGATAGGGAAAGGATCCGAGAGCCGTACCTTGAAGATATCTACTTTGGAATCTTCCTAAGACATCGTAAGGCTTTGAGTGGTGATAAAATCCTTGGTATCCACCGGGAAACCAAAGATTATCGCTTGGAGTACAAGCACTTTCTGAAAGCCAAATGTCTGCCTGTTAGTTAAGTTCATACCAAACATCAGGTTGTCATAATCAAACAGATCGATGCTCAAAGACTTCTGAGAGTCTGGTATCCAGTCTTCACTGTGACTAGACAAGATGGGCAAATTTGGAGGTTTAGTGAAGCTGATTTCCCAAACTTATATTTGGAAGACTTGGAGTATATGTACTGTGAGATCCGAAACATGACCAATAGGAAAGATGGAGC